ATCAATATTATTAACTAGTTTCTCCCCCGATCAGTGATTCTGATCAAGGAGGGACCGATTAGTATCAGTCAGTGACCTTTGATTTTTTGCAAGTATTCTCGCCGTTATTGTCTGCCGCAGAAAAGTGTTCTGTCCAATCCTGCCTATTGTCTCAGTGAATATTTGCCTGAGCATTCCAAGAATTCTGGTAGCGATACTAGCGCAAATTCAAGGTATTTGAAATGCAAACTTCACATACCAAGAATTTTTGATCTGAATTATTTTACAAGTTGCGATATATATAAGTTCTCAAACTTGATTTTGTGCACGTTTTGAAAATGACAATAGGACAATGTTTCGGTTCATACCATGCGATTATTCTCTATCAAGGTCGACGCAAAAGTGATAATACATAGAGCGTTCTTTTACTCGTAGTACTAGAGATTTTTACATTGTTTAATCTCAATAAGAGTCTTACAATTATGTATCTTCATATGTTTTAACAATAAGTATAATTTTAATTGATTTTAACAGTTTTCAAATTAATATCAAATTTAGATGATCTATTAATTATTACCTGTAAATCTATTAAATGGAATACCCATTATTGTAAAAAATTAACTCATTCATGACATTGCCAAGAAGTATGAATGTTTGAAAATACTTGATATAAAATAAATTTTCATAATAATCCACAGTACTATTACACAATAGTGTTATTTCAATATCGAGGTAAAGCATGATTGATTCTAAGAAACTAAAAAACGAAGGGTACTCTCTATCCTTTTATGATGATCATTATGTATGTATGTGTATCCTGTTACCTACTGTGTGTCGATTTGGATTTTTAATATAAACGGAAATAGTATTTAAATTACATTGTTAAATCATTAGTGGGCGGAATCATTTAAGGTTAAAATCAATTTAAACTGAGACAAAAAAATGTTATTTCAATAAGTTTCTCTAAAAGACACGAAATAGCAATAAAAAATATTTTGAAAGAAATTAGAAAGTATATCCAAAGAAAGGGAAAATATTAAGAGAGTAATGTATGATATTTTAGTCTATCATATAAATAATTATGATGATTTAGTTCAGCAATATGACATTTCTTTTTAACAGATTGGGACCATTTTTACACGTTCTGGGACTCATGCTGCTTTATTCTAATGGAAAAACATAAAAATCATAATAAATTCATTACTACCTCGAAACGACTCAAAAATTATTCTATAACATCTTTGCAACAGATAAATAAAAATGTAAGTGATAGAGTCATTTGGGGTACGTAGACTATTTTTCAAAGAGTGATGAATTTAAGCGTATATAATTATAATATTAACATTGAATATGTGAGAATTTGTAATCGAATTGAAAATTAACAGAGATGAACATCTATGTTAATGGATGTATGGATGTATATATGTGTGTGTGTGTTCCATAAAAACAAAATAATATCGGAAATTATTTTCTGCTCCAAAAAAAAAACATGTATGTTTGTTAATAATTAAATAAGAATTGAAAATTAAGTAAAACAGTTGTAATAACATTCATTTTCAAAGTTGGTTTCCTTTTGACAGCGGCTTTTGTTTATTCGAATGCGTTATGAACTATAGAAAAAAAAAAAAACATCGGTTCGATTCAAGCTTCGTTAAATAATTTCGGGTAAGTCATAATATCTTTGAAAATATGAATATAACAAAAACATATGCATTTAGTCTTTATAAGTTTATGCAAAATAGAGTGCAGAAGTTGATCCACAAATTGTGAAACCATATGGTTACTGTTCTGAAAAACAGTAGTTTTGTTTGTGGACTTCAAGAAAAAATCTTCTCCCGTCTCTCCCCCCTCATATACACTGATTTTTTTTATAATTATTGCTGTTTACTCCATTAAATTATGCTACAATTAGGTCTAAATATATTACGATCAAAATAGAAAAAAGTGTATGGCATTTTGTGTCTAACAAATGTCACCTTTGACTGGTATTTTGTTGCACAATAATAAATTTGATTCTTACAAAAACTAGTGATTAATTTTTCATGAAAAGTCATTTCCGATCATGTCGTTTAACGTTAGAAGCTTTTTTTTTCCGAAATTTATGAAAATATAAAAGGACTTAGTTCGTCACACTAAACGAGAACATTAGGTTTTTACGAATGGTGTGAGTTTGTGTGGTTGTGCTGTTTTTTTATCACTGTTGACATCAAACGATATTTCGCGAACATTTTCCTCTGTATTGTAGATTATTTTCTCTTGTTTTTTAAGAATGTCAAAAAGAATAATAATAATGAAAATCGTCTAGTTATAAAAAAAGAAGAAGAAGAATCTCTCTCTCTTTCTCTCTTTCTCTCGCTTTTTCGTAATAAATCTCTAAGGACTGTCATCATCGAGTGTATGTGTATATTTTCTTGTCTTCTAATTTAATTTGACTAAAATGAGTGTTATTTTTAATGCATAGATTCCTAATGTTTCATATGTTCATTTATGCAATGATGTTTGCGCTTCATATAAAAATAGTGAAAAGTATAGAAGATTTTTACATACAAACACAACAACATCTTATTCGAAATTTATACAAGTAGGTATAAAAGTGATAATCTGTTGTTTTTTCTTTTCGTTCTTTGTTTTTCTTTAAGGATAAAAAAAAAAGTCGATCATTTCTAATATTTAGTTAATTATTGAAAAAATATTAAATGATCTGCCATTTTTGCATTTATTTTTTTTTGTCCTATTTTGAATGAAAATATTATAATTATTTTTTTTTCTCAGTTGCGGATATATTGTCAGAAAATTGCGTGTATTCGTACATTTTCTAGTTTTAAAAATAGTGAAAATTGTTTTGACACGAATCAAGAGAGAAAAGTTAATTATGCAGATTGCCAAAAAGAAAATGAAATTCGCTAGAGGTTTCAGAGTGTCATTTTAACATGAAAAATTCTTTAAATCTGTGTGATAAATATTGTGCTAACAGCTTTATTAACTCATGTTAACAGATATCTTAAGTAAAAACTATCTCACATTGTTTATAGTACACAAGATATGTAAGTGACTCTTCTAAAAACAGTAAGATCTATTATCAATCGATATAATTTGATATATATATATATTTTATTTATTTTTTTTTTGTTGTTATTGTTGAGGAAATGTAGGTCTACATAGATATTGTTTCATTCAAACAGAATCATATGGTCAGTTGTTTTCATTTTTCGTTATCAGTTTTTAAAATTCATTAAAAAAATTCGTTGAACAATGTCTAGAAATTCAAGATCATTTATCAGATTTGTTACATATAAAACACTTGTTCTTATGTACCATCATCCTCTAGCATTTCATTATTTTATCTGAGCGATATCATTGTTTTATTTCGTTATCTTCTATTGTATGATAGCTTCTTTCTCTTCTCTCTCTCTCTCAATTTATATATATACCCGTTGGTTTTTCATAGTCAAGAGGAGAAGATTCAGTCGATTTGATCTGAAATAAAATATAGACACCTATAAATACAAAATTATATTTGATAATAACAAGATTCCCTTATGAAATTCAACAAATTTTACTCTCGAGACAATAGTTTATCTTTTTGAATAGAGATTAATTCTGAAAAAATTTTCTTCTCTTATGTTTCTTTAATGTTTATTTAAACTACAAAAGAAAATTTTTCTTTATTTCAAAAGTGAATTCTAATATATTTTTTTCTTAACAATTGTTTATATTGAAAGTTACTCCTATATCTTCAGTAGTCTATTATGTATTGTAATTGTTACTGTAATCTTCCGCTCTTTCTATTGTTACAAGAATGTTGTTGTTCATCAAAGAAAATAATAATGAAACATTCTCTCTTTTCTCTTATTTAAAGAAAAGAGATGAAATGAGTAATGTAATCATTGAATAAGAACATGATGTTAATTAATATAAAGTTTATTTGCTCTGTATATGGTACATTTTTGTCAAACCCCAAGGAAATTTGAGTATAAAAATATGTTTGTTATTTTTCTCGAATATATATATATATAGCGAACGAACGGCATAATAAAACTTTTCAAGGAAATAGAATAGATATTATTCGATTTCTTTTTTTTTTTTCATCATCATAATTTTTATAACATAAGTCAGAATGACGTGTGGACAACAAACAACAATTCACGTTGATTGATTTGTTACGCATTCATGATTTTTCCAGTATCATGATTTTATCAAAATATCGATCTCTATAGGAGACAAACGTGAAATCAGAAGCAGAACAAGAATAAGAAGATGAAGAAAAAGAAGAAGAAAAAGAAGATGTCGAAAAGAATGGAAAAGATGAATAAGACGAAGATTATATATATATATCGATAATTTGGCGCTTTTAAAAACCTGATTATATCTCCAAAATATATATAGAGCCAATATTTTCTATCACTTCCTTTTTTTCTTCGATTTTTTTTTTCCACCAGTGCATTCTCAATAATTGCCTCTTATTAATAGATTTTCTTTCTTCTACAAAGATTATTATTATTATGATTATTATTTTGGTGCTGCTTCAGGATTCTTATGTTGTTCATTATCAAGAACTTGAATTGATGATGATGATGCCGTAAGCATATCTTCTTCTTTTTTTCTTTTGAAAATCATTCACATACTCTGTGGTACTTATGTCGTAATTTAGACATATCAAACATACACACAATAACATTGATTTTTTTGATTGAGAGAGATTGAGGGAAACACAAAAAGAGAGTGAGTGAGTGAGTGTGTGTGTGTATGCGTGTGTGAGAGAGAGAGAAAGAGAGGAAAAAATCAAATGATGCGGTATTGAAATTTACTCTTGTCCCCCTTGACTTTCAATTATTTTATTTCATCACTTTCCTAAGGATAACCTATAGTTTTCTTGTATACGCCACGAACTATAAGAAAAAAAAGAATGTATTTGTGTTTCAGGTGAAATGTCTGCGATTTATTATTTTTTCTCTCTTCACTGGCAGTAAAATGCAATTAAAAAAAAAGAAGAAATAAAAATACGTTTAGCTTCAAGTAAAATGAAGAATAGTGAGAAAAAAATGAGAGAGAAAAATAAAGGTTAGTAAGATTTCTGAAAAGAACTTCATTATCTAAATAAAAGTCATTTCTATCAGTTTCATGATGTAAAAATCATATAATTGAATGAGAAGATTTTGATCTTAGTGTTATGTCATCATAGATAAATCACTCTTTTCCATTTTTTAATTTATTAAAACAATCACAAAAAAACAAAGAATTCTTTATAATGATGATAAAAAAACATTCTGATTTTATTTGTTTATTTTATTTAAGAAGTCATTGATCTCACTCTTTATAATATTTTGTTTTACATATATTCAAACTCATTGAAAATCAATTATTTAATTTGACACATTATTATTTTTTATAATAAATGTACACTGTCAATAATCAAATGGATTTATTTCTAATCTATTTTGACTTTTTGTTTATTTGGAATTTTTATTCGATTTTATGTTCATAATAATCTATGTTTTGTCGTCGTTGGTTTCTAATTGTTTTGATTATTATTATTATTATTATTTTAATAGTTAAAAAACAATATTTTGTCGCTTCTGTTCTTATACGACGAAAACAGATACCATTATGTGGAATATTTACAACAAAAATGACTCCATCATCCTATGTTATTGATTATGCATTGACACATTTAAAACAAATATCATCAATTAATATCGAATTAGTCATTAATCGTACAGTCAATGATATTGATGTAAGAATATATATTTCTTTTAGTCAATAATACAAATAATTATTTTATTATCATCTAAAATATGTATGTTATATTATTATTTTTTTTTTCAGTGTGATATGGCTATTGGAACAAAACTATTATTTGATATGTTAAATCAATCTCCTCGACCAATGGCTATATTTAGTGGAGCTTGTCAACCGGTTGCTGCAGCCGTTGCTGAAACAGCTGGAATGTGGAATATGGGCGTGGTAGATATTATTATTATTATTTTTTTTTTCGTTTTTTTAAAAAAAATTCTTTCTTTATCTGCTATTTTTTGTAATCTAAAAAAACAAAAAAAAAAAACATTTTTTTTCTATTCATTTTTTATAGATTATCTATTCTGAAACGGATTCATTATTTTCTGTACGTGAAAAATATCCATCTTTATTTCGAACAGTTCCAAGTGATTCAATACATAATTCTGGTATGTATATATTTAATTTTTTAATATGTATAAAAATTCTATCTAATTATGTTAATATTTTATTCTAATTTATTTATTAGCTAGAAAATTATTGTTAGAAAAATATAATTGGAAAAGAATGGCAACATTATATCAATATGAACGACAATATACAAAGGTCTGTTCTTCTTCTTCTCTTTTTTTTGTTTTTTTTTGTTTTTTTTCTATTGTTTTTTGTTGTTATTGTTGTTGTGTGATGTACAACTATTATTTTTGGTTTATTTTTCTAATTTTTTTTATGTTATAGCCTATAACTGAATTTAATAACTTATTACAAGCGGATAAAAAATTAAGTTCAATAAATTTAGAACATGAACGTATTAATGAATGGGAAAATGCACTTTCAAAAGGAATATCGTTTAGTGATTTGAATGAATCAGAAGAAAATAAAACACGAAATAGTTTTAGAGATGCATTCGATGATTTACAAGTAAAAATAATAGAAAGAATATAATTTGACATTTTGTTCAATATTCAATAGAATAAAAAACAAAAATATATACATATATATATATTTTTCTTTTTTTAAGCGTAATAATATTCGAATTATAATTGGAAATTTTAATTCAACAATGGCTATTCGAATATTCTGTGAAGTAAGTAAAAATATATATTTTTGGTTTATTAAAAATCGAATAAAATAATTAATAAAAAAAAAAATATTAAAAAAACAAAAAAAAAATTTCTAGGCCTATCGTTCGAATATGACTGGTGCTCGATATCAATGGATTATACTTGGTTATTATGAGCCTAATTGGTGGTTAGAAAATCGTGGACCATGTACAAATGATCAACTTATTCAAGCATTAAATGGTACATTACAAACACGTGTAGTTGATATTGGTTATAATAGAAATGCACGTACAATGGCTGATTTAACACCCGATCAATTTAAATTTGATTTATCATTGATGCCGCATATTGACATGGCTAATAGACATTTTCTTGGTTATGCATTTGATGCTGTTCTAACAGTGACAGCTGCCTTTCAAAAATTAGATAAATTATTACAACAACAAAAAAATTGTTCAACTAATTTTGAAGATGATTCTGTATGGCGTGATAATTGTTGGAGATCACAATTGATTAATGCTTTACAAGCGGTAGAAATTGAAGGAGTGACAGTAAATGACAAATGAATAGCTAATATATATAAATAAGATTAAAAAAAATATATTTTTTAACTTTTAGGGTTTTATTCGTTTTGTCAATGGTGAAAGAATAGGAGAAATTGTTATTGAACAATTATTAGGTACTTCTTTTTCATTTCATTGAACATTTTTACATAGTATCCAATCTTATATATATATATATATAGAAAAAATTATTTCAAAAATTTTGAGATATTTAGATTTGAATTAGCTCAATCTAATCTAATTTTTTTTAAATGAAAAACTCTATTGTTAGAAAAACGATCGTTAAAATAATGACAATCGTCTATGATAGAAAGAGGGTATGTTCTTTAACGCATTATAAATATAATTTAAAATAGATTTCAGCATCTAATCGAAAATTCTCTAAAACATCACGTTCATCATTGTGTCATCCTGGTGAAGATTGTCTATTAGATACAGTTAAACTTTATGTGGCATTACCGGATAAAAAATTGGGACCACCATCATTTATCCTTGTTGATGCCAAATCAGGAATGAATATTACTTGGCATGGTAAAAATTTACATTATTTTATTGTGTATTAAAATAAATTTAATACATTATTTTTATCTTTTTTAATTTAAGGCAATGGTCCACCAACCGATCGTATTAAACGAATTGAACGTGATCAACGAATATCTGTTATGACGTATACAGTAATAGCTATAATTAGTGGAACAGGAATTATTTTAGCTACAACATTTTTTGTTTTTAATATTATATTTCGTGCTCATAGGTAAAAGATCAATATCATCAATGAAAAATTATTTTGAAAAGTCTGAAAAATACATGAATTATTCTATTATTTTTAGATTTATTCGAATGTCAAGTCCTCAATTAAATAATTTAATTATAGTTGGATGTATTCTTTCATATATAAGTGTTTTACTAATGGGAATTGATTCAACATTATTAGGAAAACAGAGTTCACAATCGGCAATGGATTTTATATGTGCCGTAAGTTATTTTTGATTAATATCTTTCTTATTAAATTAGTATAGGATATTTTTATTTAGACAAGAGTATGGACATTATCAGTTGGTTTTACAATATCTTTTGGCTCAATATTTAGTAAAACTTGGCGTGTACACACTATTTTTACTAATGTCAATGCTTCAAAACGAGTATATTATACATATTTTTATAATACTATCATAATATAAAATTTGTTAATCTTTTTTTCGACTTTTAGGCAATTAAAGATTATCGTTTATTCATAATTGTTGGTGTATTATTTGCTATTGATACTGTTTTATTAAGTAGTTGGCAAATATTAGATCCATTAAAAATATTCAAAAATATTAGTCAAAAACAGGTATCACTATTTGACGTTTTATTTATCATATTTGACATTTGAAATTCTTTTTCTAGACAAAAGATGAAGATGTTGTTATTGTATGGATTTATGAAGAATGTCGATGTAGAAGACGAACAATTTGGATTGCTATGCAATTTACATTCAAGGGAGTATTAATGGTAAGTATTTGATATAAAATTCTATTTCATGAAACTATATTATATACTATTCTGTTTAAAGGTGGCGGGTTCTCGTTTTGCATGGAAAACTCGAAGTGTCTGTATATCAGCATTAAATGATTCAAAATATATTGGCATGAGTGTATACAATGTTGTTTTATTAAGTATTACAACTGCAGTTGTTGGCTACTTTTTCGAAGATCAACATGAAATGGCATTTGTTTTGACATCTATTTTTATTTTATTATGTGTGACTATTACATTATGTCTCGTATTTGTACCTAAATTTCTTGAAGTAGCGAAAGATCCATCTTCTCGTGCTAAACCTCAACGTGCCGTTTTAACAGCGCATAAAAAATCAGTGGATTCATCAGTTTTAACCCATATTAGAAAATTATCTACCGAAAATGAACATTTTCGATCAAATCTTGCTAAGGTAAATTAAAATAGAGAAATTTAATAACTTTTAAGAGACTTTTTATTATCTGTATCTTATTTCAGTGTAACAAATTAATCGATACTCTACTCTCTCATATGGATGATAAAGGTCATCATTATGAGATTATTCTGCGTAAGTTATTTCTTTTTGGTATTTTTTATATGATATTGATCAATATTTCGTGTTTTATTTTTTTTTCTATTGTCTTCTAGCTACAATTTTGTCAGAAGATACAACTCATACTCATGAATCAGAATGGTTATTAGAAGACGAAAATAAAATATTAACAAACGATAGAACTACACTAAGAAGATGATAATAATACGTGAATGATTGTTTTTATTTTTTGATGTACGTGAATTGGTAGATATATAGATACATTTTGTTACTATTTCTTTTTCTTTTTTTTATTTTTCTTCTGTATGTGGTTTTTTTCTTTTTTGTGAATGAGAAGAGGAAATGATAAGCTCTATTTACTATATCGTCTATTGTTTATACAATGATAACTGTTAGCAAAAAAAATTATCAGTATCACTCGCTGTCTACGATTTAGTTGTACCATAAGGCTATTGATTCATAATAAGGACACCAGATGAAGTAAAAAAACAGAAATAGTACACACACACACACACACACACAACACACACAATTAAAAAACAAGGAGACAGTTACAACATATAGCGACGTCTATTGTAATTTCAATGTAACAAATAGAAAAAGGTTCATATTTTTATTCTGATGGATACACAATCAACATAGTTACAATATTTTCTTAGATAATATATTTATTTACCCATAGTCTATTAATATCTAACATTCAAAATCTTATTACAATTGATGTTGAATTTGTCATAAAAATTATTTTAAAAAAAAACATATGGAATATTTTGTCTTTTTTACTCGTAAATCAAACATAATACTGTTAACTGATAGGTTTAGAATTCGAATATGTGTTGATAGACTCTATTTCAAAGTATCAAAACAAGGTTTTTTTTATTCCTTTGTGTGTTTTGTGTAATCATCAAGGTGAACATTAATGTATTGAACTTGAAACAATTCGTTTTTTTACTCACACAGAATGTGTACAAGACATGAATAATTAATCAAAGTTTGTTCTAGAATATTATTTATGAATAATAATAAATAATTCTTTTCGGTTTTTATGTGTATGGACATTAGTCAATACGCCTATTGACATAAAGAGAGAGAGAGAGAGAAAAGGAGAGACAGAGAGAGAGAGAGAGAGAGGAAGAAAGAAAACAGAATAGTCTGCGAGAAGGAGGAGAAACGAAAATCCTATTCAAAATGTGGTTAAATGAGTAAAACAAAAAAAAAGACAGCGAAATATTTGCTACATAATTTTGTATCCATTAGTTAAAACAAAAGCAATTCATTACAAACATTATTGGACAAAAACAATGAAAAAAATAATTTGTTGGTTATCACTGGTTATCTCAATATATCTGTTCACTGTTCAAGGTGAATTAACTCCAGGTAACTTTTAATATGACCCTGTAGTTTTTTATCATTAATCATTACAACTCACTATTTACTTTTGATATGGCCAAAACGTTTCTGATAATTTCTAATAGAAAGAGTCGAATTGATACAGAATAGGCAATAAATTACGGTTCATAAATTCGAAATAGATTTTGTGTTATTTTATATTTCGTTTATATTAGTAAATATTTGACTTTGTTGTGTTTAAGAGGCGTATCGTACCGGTCAATTACGTCCACTTCAACGCGGATTTGATAACCAATGGAGACAAGGTGATTGTCCTGTACGTTGGCTTCAACTTGGAAATGAATGTTTATATTTTAATACATATGGTAAACAATTTTCATGGAACGATGTTGAACAAACCTGTACAAAACGTATTAGTAGATATTTGGCAGAAGATCAAGTAAAATTAACGAGATCTACTGTTCGACCAATATTATTAAATACACCCGAAAAAAGGACACTGTTACAAGCTTTAGCTGACTCATACGGAGAAGACGGTTATGCCATACAATTGCCACGTGACTATGATAATGGATGTAAGGATGCAATACCAGCATATTGTGATGTACCCGATAAACTCCCCATAGAAAAATGTGTCGAAACAAATGCAAAAGACACAAATTTTTGTGTTAAACAAACAGATTGCAATAAGAAATATGCACGTCTAGCATGCGAATTTACATTGCCAGGTAAAGTTGGCATCTTTTTCGTCTTTATAACCATACATAAATACTCTAAAGTTTTACTGCTATAGATGTGTAGGTACATTTATATCTTGAGGCAATTAGACACGATTCTCTATATTTAAAATAAGATTTCTTATATTGTATTAATTGTCAAGTGCTGTTGTTGTTCTTTTATTTCCAAGGAAGTACGGAAATTACAACATCACAATTTAAAAAATGTTTTGTTAAAAATTATGCAAAACGTTCTTTACTTTTACCTTGGTATTACATATTATTAATTATTTTGGGAATATTATTGCTGATAGGTTTAATTGTTGGATTCATTTTCTTAAATCGTAAGAAAAAATCAAAATCAAAAGTACCAGCACCAGTACTAAAAAGAACTGAAGAAGGTATAAAGAATTATTAATTAAGAAATTTGTTCTTATTATATATCTATGTTTTAATTTTTATTCTTCAGTTAAAACTGTTACCATAGATGATCCAACAACCGAACCGGTACGTAATTTTTTTTTACTATGACACGTTGCTAACATACGATTATATTCGTTGTGAGAGTCAAAAAAAATCAACAATTGGAAAAAGACATTTAACGAAAATAATGGATTTTAATATTTTTATGGAAACTTGTGAAATTTTACACGTCGGTTTAATTTAACACGTGTAGTTATAATTGAGAGTCACATTTACGAACTTATTCGTGCATAAAATCAGAATATACTATTAGTGAGTACTGGTAAAAATATTGACTCATATCAAATTCTTCCACGATTTTTCAACATTATGATAGTTGAAAAAATTTTCCGATGAGATTGATGCATATTGTTTTTGTTATGTTAAAAGATGTTTAATAAAAAGTCTATTTCTATTTAGCTTATGCGATCATCCGCAGTTCCATCATCTGACTTACGTGAGGATGTACATCATACAACAGTGATTACTCGTGAAAATCCGGGACAAACAAGAATTATAGATGTAACCAGTGGGACGGCTGACGCTTGATTTTTATCAACAAAACTTTTATTTCATGACAAATATAGTTAAAAGTTAGCATTCACTTTTATCTGAATTTTTTTGCATACTATATTTTTAATGTCATCATTTTTTTTTTATGGCTTATTTTTAGTCTGACAATTTTTTTTCTACGCATACACTTTTTATCTCAAAATATTTGTATTGTACAATTTGTGTTAATCATTTCTTTGTCACATCCAGTAAATCAAGATATATGAGAAAGATGGATTGATTATACATGGACAATTTTGTAATCCTAACTGTTATAGCATTTTTTTTATCATACAAACCATGTCACTGTTTGTACGCATGTTGACAAGTTTCAGTGATAAATAATCATAGACGAACAGACGGTAATAAAAAAAAAAATGTCTATATTTTGTGTTTCTAATCAATAAGTCTAACTTCAGAGTTATTTAATAAACGAAATATTGAATTGTATCAGAATGATCTCAATGATCCAATTATTTTAAATTGCCATTCTGCCATTCCAGAGTGTCATTCCGTTTTTTTGGAAGTCGAACTTTTAGTCTAGTTTTCACGTGATAATAATAATAATAATAAGAGAATGGGAAAAGCGAACATTTCATTTTAACATATTGCACGTTTTTTCCATTTCTTTCTGTGTGTATATGTTGTAGGCAAAACTCAAATTCAGGCAAATTTTAAATTTGCCTAGGCAAAACTCAAATTGGAGTTTTGACTGGGCAAAACTTAAATTGGAGTTTTGCCTGAAGTTTTTCTAGGCAAAACTCA